TGGGGGGAGGTGGGTGGGCGTGGGCGCAGCCATGCCTCAGGATAGTCCTCATAGCATTGTAATGAGTGCATGGACGGAGTCTGGGCAATGGAGAGTGCAGTGTGGCTTTGACGGTTTCCATGAATCCTTTTCCCCTGAACAAATCTGTGCGAGTGCAGTGAAGTCTAGGGGTTGTGACCTCTGCTCCTGCTCTTAACTTTGTCTGCTCTCTGCTCCCGCAGTACTTCGCAATCTGATGAGCCAGAGGCTTGAAGTTGACTCACATTTTGGAAAGTGTGTAATGGGGGGCAATCTTTTTTAATCTTTCTGTCATTTCTCACCATGCCAGTTTGGTTGTCTTTAACTGTGTTTGGGCCTCTTCTCAAGTGATGCACTGTGGTGGTATTTGCTGAGTGGCTGTAACATTAGATTTACTGTCATTACTTAATGATGGAGACCATGGTGGCCAATATCCCTCCCTGTGGTTTCTGTTCTCACATAATCATGTCTGTTTTTGAAGGGATCAGTGCTTCCCTAAAAATCTGCTTCCAAACTAATCAGAAATGTCAAATATCTCAGAGCCAACACTGTCGGGGCTGAGCTTACAAAAAATACCAGTGAGGGGCAACCACAGACTATGTAAAATACAGCATGGTCTCCCACAGAAATGTCCTGTTTGCCATTTTGAGAATGTGTAAATGCAGAAATGTAACGTTGCTAAATTTAATATTGCTCTGGCTCCCGTAGGAGTTGAACCCGTCGATAAATTCTCAAAGGACACAGAAGACAGCAGACTCCAAACCAAGACCACTGTGATTATTCTGTTAGTTGTGACAGAGGAGAAAAAGGATCAGGCAGAAGGAGAAAGGCAATAGAAGTAAACTGGAGAAAGGCAGACTTTCTGGCATGATAGAGAGCATCCCTCAGGGCTGTCGTGGGCCTTCTTTTTTTTTTTTCTTTGGGCATGCATTGTCCCAGAACAGACCTACAGTTATAAAGCGACCTCCCACGACCTCTGCATCTAATCCAATCAAACAGCACCATAAGTGGGAGCATATAGATCACTCCAGCCAATCGTGTTATAGCGTGCTAACAGGATTATGGGGGCTTTAGTGTGTGGATTCCACCCCAGACCTTTGATTTTACTACTTACACACATAGCATTGAATTCATATTGTCAGAGCCTCCTTGCCTCATCTTGCATTCCAGCCTGTCATGCCTGTCTCACTCTCTCTGTCTCACTGTCTTTCTTCCTCTACTTGCACCCACTGTCGCCTCTGGCTCCCCAACAGTGCTGTCCCAGCACAGCGATCTGTTATCATTTCTTATTGCAACCCGGGAGCAAACACACACACATTCAGACGTACACAAAAAAGACATACCACACTCCTCCCAGATGTCCGGGGGGGGGGGGGGGGGGGGGGGGGGTACAGCACAGGGGTAACAGTGTGTGTGCAGTACAGCACTTAGGCATTGCCGTGTGTGTTAGTGTGTGTTTGTTGCAGGAAGGTGAGAGAAGGTGAGAGGACTAATTAGTCATCAGCTGGAGTGCAGGGCAAGGTAGACCAAAAGCATTCTACACGCATGGAGCAGCCGCTTTGATAAGAGGCACCAATATAGCCCGGGTGCCAGACTGACTCAGCTTTCAACTCTGCACTCAGACAGTTTTGCCAAGAGAACAACAAAGGAGCTGGAGGGAGCACAACTGTTCTTGCTCCCATGCTTGCTTGTGAGGGAGGCATGAAGCTGGTTTTGATGTCTTGATGTCTGAGATATGATTCTGCGAAATGTGGCAGACTGACAGAACAGACAGATTATTGTTGTGTAATTGCCTAAATTGCCTGCTAACTGTGTTGCCCGTGTACCTCGGTGAAAGCAGATGTTATGCAGATCTGCTGAGGAAATAAAACTCAAAAACCTCAGATGATAAAATTAGAGCGATCCATCAGATGGAATATTTATGTTCTCTTTGAACACAAGCCAGCGATGTGTGTGTTTCGTTTGCACATCTGTACATGTACGTCACGTTTTTGTTAGTTGAGAATAACAGCCAGATGAAGCTGTTGTCTGTACTGTTGGAATGTGATGCAGTTAAAACAACTGGACCACTTGTTTTGAGTTTGTCCAAGGTACAACTGTTTTATGGTCATTCCCATGTTGTGTCTTGTCATGTTTAACACACATCCATCTCCTAATAGGGTCAGTGTAAAGACGGCAATGTCCAACAGGTTACAGTCGGCTGCACATGCAGCCATGTCCCGTGAGATATTGAACTGTGCATGTACAAGCAAAATGCAATGTTTCATTGTGGTAAAAGTTCAACAGTTGCCTTGGATTTAATATAGTCAAACACCAAAAAACAAAAACAAAATAAAAACACAAATTCAATTTTTAATTGTGGTGTATTTGCAGTGGCCTGCAGAGTGCTTTTAATTTCTGCTGCACCATAAAGGCACAACCACCCATTCATTAGATAGATTGCACAACACAACCACTGTGGTGTGTTTTGCTCCCTGCTTTTGTATCCCGCTGAAACAATGTGCAATATTCATTCCAAGAGAGAAGTTCTGGAAAGGATGACCCAATGGGGACACTATGTGAGACTGATGTGTTACAGGAGTCTTGGGAACTCATTTTAACATGACCCCATGGGGTTTTATAAGTGTGGATACTTGTTGTGTGCATCGTGGGGTTGCGTGCCGCGGTGTACATGAACATTAAATAAGTAATAGTCATCAAAATCTTATGAAAATAGTTGTGTAGTTTTATAGGTTCTGGTGGTGTGCTTGAGCCCCTCTATGGGCGACCATAAGTACTCTGTTTACGTCTGTCCGAGCTGTGGGAGCCCTCCATGTGTGTCTGTTTCAAGACAGGGGCCTCTCATGCAGAGCCCTACAATTTCCTCATGTAGTGTGTGTGTGTGTGTGTGTGTGTGTGTGTGTGTGTGTGTG